CAATTTCAGACCGAAGAACAGATCCGATCTCAACTTACGAGACGGATAGACAAACAAACACGCAAACAATTGCAGATTAGCAGGATGAAATGAAGATAAACATCAAGTGGCTATCAAAATCTCTCGATCTCTTGTCACGTAGGAACTTTTTTTACACCTCCCACCGCATTTGCTTTTCAATACACCGGAGATCCCGCGATGGAAATCGACTTTGTCGAGATTAACACAGATTAGGATGTCCCTCTGGGGGCGGAAAGGCATAACGCGGAGGGGTAATGCGCCGAACACGAAATCCAAGAATGAGCACGGTGATAATAATTTTCCAGCCTCTGTTAGGGTTTCTATACGTGTCGCGTAATGCGTAATTCGGAATAAGGGCGAGGGTGGTTTCGGAGATACGAGAAGAGAGGCTGCAAGGGGGCAGAGATCGCCGAGGAGAAACGATCGCGGGCCCCGGGCGTTTGTTAAAGCGGTACACCGACGGTACGTGCGGTACGTGGTACGGTACGCACCACTCTCTACCCAAAGGACAATGCGTAATGCGGCATGCACAGTGTTGGTTTCCCTGCCCGTCTCATTTTTGCATAATCAACTGCTGCATTGTAAAAGGATTTACGGATAGGCGTAAGTCTGGCGGCGCACCAAAGACGTATGCAGGAAGCATGCAGCAAATGCTTCAAGAAGCATTGAAGTCACCCCTAGTAGCACAAAATATTTGTCCTATATTTTCTATATATTTCAACGAATATCGTACATTTCGTAAATATATTAGCAGACATTTTAAATGTTTGCAAAACGTTTACTTTAGAATATTGTCTTTATAATATTTCTGTAATATTATCTCCACGCGTTTTCATAATATTTTTCTACCAGCTACACCAAACATTTCGTTTCATCTTAATATAGGGATTTTTTTAAATACTATCTGACGAATACATTATAAACGTTTTAAAAATATCTAAAATCAAAGTCACACGTTTTGCTCCTATAAAGAAATTGCGGAAAGAAAATATTACAAAAATTTGTCGGGTTTTTTGATACCAAATGAAGCGTCCGATAATAGTCGTGAAGTTATAAATGTATTTTTATTATATGTTCATAAATTGAAAATTATAATTTTTATATATGTTTATAAATTATTGAAACTAAATATGTCATTGAGATTTTCAACAAACATTTCAAATATCTTCGAATGAAATCTATAAGAAATCTTAAAAAATCTGTCGCACGAGATATTTAGCAAAGATTACAAACAAATATTTAGAAATTATTCTGTGCTACAAGGGACCTATGTATTTGTGGATATCTACGCATATAAGGAAGGCAGTTTTTTATTAAGTGCTTTGGGTGGTGAAGTTAATGCTACGTTTTTATTGTACGTGTCTTTGGTGTGCGGTCAACGGTAATCGTAAGAGTAACAGGAAGAGTCTATTAAATGGAATTAAAACAGGGAATTACTAAAAGCCTTGGAAATCTTAACGATGTACCGTGCCCTATGAACTCGTTCAAGTGTAACGATTTCTGCTTCGCTTTTTTCGGTAAATTCAACGAGTCGGAAGCTCGAGGAACAAGCCTTGAATTTCTGGAGCCTTGATTAGTTACTACTCACGACACCTGTAAAAAGCGCGAGTACCCTGAGCGAAAAAAAAATCACTTTCTAGAAAAAGAGAAATTCTTGTTCCGCATAAATCTTTACTGGTTACTATCGACGAAATAAGTTCAAACGAAATTAGGGCACATTACAAACGCTACTCAATTTTCTTGAGCCCAGCTTTGCTAAGTCCGTTTGACTCATTACCGCTACACTTTCTGTGAATAAACGCGTGAAAAAGAAGAATTCGCTTCGCTTCAAAGAACGAAAGACTTCGAAAAAATTAATAATAATCCTCGAGCAAACCAGAATTCAATAGAATTATCACACGTATCCGCGGATTTTTCTCAAACGTCAAACAGATACCGCTGAACTCGTTCTTGCAATCACTTGAAACAATTCTTATTCGCCATAAATAATTTTCTACATCAACAAGGTTACTGGAGTTCGATAAAACGTTCTACCCAAAATGCGGCATAATTTCCATGAATATACTCTGAATACTTTTCAACCAATCCGACACATAACGATCCTTTTCGGAAAATCAATTCCACCCGCTATTAACTCGCCATCACTTGGGTTGCACATCAATGATCCTTACAATATCAATCTTTCTGGAGTCGATAAATGTCGTTGACAAGAGACATTTACATTGGCGCAAGTAATTCATTCCCCGGAGAGGGTAAATTTTTCGCTCGGGGTCGGTGCTCACCCCTGGCGCCTCCTTGGTAATAATTTTGGGCCTTCGAGTAAGTGTCGGGAATCCTCGGGGAGATATCTCGTCCCATCCCAAGGGGTCCTCGCCGCTAAATCGTATTCGCGCGGCTTATTAAAGATTTGGCGGGCCGCGGTGCGACGGCGCACCCGCGTGTGGAGGCCCCTTAACGTTAGGAAGCTCTGCCACTAATTGAATCTCCTCTCTTACTCGCGTCTGGAACCCCCCGCGGCCGCTGGGAACCGGAGCACCCGTGCTGCATTAAACACCCCCGACACCCTGGCACCCTCGCCCCTCGTCCCTCGGCGAGCGTCGCGTCCCGCCCCCGCGGCCCCCACCCGACCGCGTCCCGTAGGTGCGGCCTCCCACCTCCCACCTGCGGCCGAGCGCACCTTCCAACCTTCCACCTTCCACCTTCCGCCTTCCGCCTTCCGCCCTCGTCTCGAAGACGAGCCCGATCGCCCGGGACGGGTGCAATCGATGCCTCCGGAGCCCCTTGCATGCGCGCCCTTCTTGGCGGCGCTCTGCAACGCCAAAGGGTGCATTCGACTACTTTGCCTTCGAGGCTCCGATGCGTTGCATTCGACGCCAAAGGGTGCATTCGACTATTTTGCCTCCGAGGCTCCGATGCGTTGCATTCAACGCGGTACAGTTAAGGTGATGTGAAAGTGGCGTCGAAGAGGTTTTATTTATAAAACTTTCCTCCCAATTCGGTTTACCGGATAGTTTGAAACTTTGCAATGTGAATAGGGAGACTATAAGGAAGGTCCTTAAACTCATGAAATTTCAATTCTTTTCAAATTTATTTATAGGTATTTTAAAAATAGTTTATAAAAAATATAATTTCGCGAGTTTCAAGACCTACCTTAAGGTCTCCATATTCACGTTTTAAAGTATGAAACGATTTGAGATACCCAGTTCGTAGAAAAGTGTTATGAACGATTGAGCTTTCGGATGCCGCTTTCACATCCCCTTAAGGTTAAGTGAAAATCCCCTCTCAAATCAGTTGACTCGAATAAGACACTTTTTTTTTAAGGGTACTGGATCGAACCATCTGAAACTTTGACAAGTGACTCCGAGCACCTAGGAATTATATTGACGCTTTGAAAATTTGGATTTTTCACCAAAATTGTTTAACTTAGGCTCAGACCAGATCGAAAATGGCGTCGAGTTCGCATATTCTGATCAATGTCCAATTATTGAAGGCTCTAACATGAGAAACAAATGTCTCAGGACAATTGTAAAAGGATTTAGAACAGTCTGGTAATCGATTAACTCGCATCGATGCACGGAGGTGCAATCGATATTTCAAGATGGCCGCCATTCTTGACGACGCTGCAACTGGGAACGTGAAAAAGTCCACGATGCACTTGGAATAAAGCGATTTCAATTTCGGAATTCACGAGCATTGCTTTAAACGTTGTCGAGGTAAAGACAGTTGAGGAATTCATTTAAGCGTAAGCAGGGATTATTTATGCGTGATAATGAACATGTTTGATTGATTGCGGAGTGGTGAAATCGACGCTTCAAGATGATCGCTGTTCTTGATGTCGTAGCCAAGATGCAGGATGCAATCTGAGTGCAACTATTTTAAGTATCGAGATTGACGGCGTCATTTTAAATGGATTGAGGACTAGCCATGGACCCAATACTTCATTAATTTAAACACAAGCAAAGAGGAAAGATTCTTAATTGCCCGCAAAATGTCTCTCTAAGTTCTAAAGAAGGGTATCGGTCTATCTAACCCGAGATTGTTCCCGCGTTGGGATGCTATAGAATTACAATGATGAATAGCCGAAAATGTAGGGGATGAATGACCGAAGAGAGATGTCAAGAAAGTGAAACGTTGGATGACGATGCGTGTCATGGCCCTGACAAATACGAGACGTGAAAGGTAAAGCGAGAACGACTAAATAAGTCCTTCGTATTTGATTCGCGTTCTTCGAATTATCTCTTTTATGAAATAAGCCCGGTGAGATTATTCCTCTTCGTTGTGGTGGAAAACCTCAGTTTAAGGTGCGACCAGTACGATGACAGTATTTCCAGAGATGACAGTAAGTGCACGAAACACTCGTACTAAACAATACGAGTACATTCGTATTTTTTTGTGTGCAGCTGACCTAACCGAGCGCTTTTGGCAGCATCATAGAGTTTTGGCCCGAAATAGCTTGCATATTTTTTATGTTTTTCTGGGAACCCGGGCGATTAAAGTGGCGCTGAAAAATGTCTCCAGCTTCCGATATCGATTAAACCGAGCCCCGTGCCCAAAGGGTTTAGGGTGCCTAATCCTGACGAATCGCAAGCCACGCGTAAAAGGTAGAAATCAATGGGATTGCGAAATTATCTCCGTCTTCCTTCTCTGCTGGCAACTTTCAAAGAGATGGTCATAATTTTCTGATGTTTCTGCAACGATGTCGCAGATAATGGCATTAAGTTCAATATTGTTTCCTAGTACTTTCCTGATTAACTACTGTTTTAAATGCAGACTCGATTAGACAGCAAGTTCCATTTTCGTACGTACAAGTTCATATGAGTACATCGAATAAAAATCTTTCCGCTCAATTATTCGATCACTGGATGAAGCAGGGTTCTCTTAATCTAAGATTCCCTCTTAGGGCCAAGTGGTGATGTACAGATTGTGGTAAAAGGATGTTGCAAATTATTGTTTAAATAGTAGATGAAGAAACGACTTACCGTCTCTGTTCATGCTGGCTTGGAAGCACTTAGTAAGTCGACATGCTCGACACTGATTCCGATGAGTCTTGTCGATAGGGCAGCGCCCTTTCATAGCACCCTGTGCTTTGCAGGTGTACTCCCGATTGCTGTGAATGCTTCTCTTGAAAAACCCTGAGCAACCTGCACCCGGAAACGGAAATGAAAACGTTAAGATCCTTCCGCAAAAGTGCGACCTTTAATCGGGAACTCCTACGTTTTCAATTTAAACCAGAAAGCCGAAAGCCGTAATTTAGTCGCGCTGGTTTTCTCTTAGTTAATTTAAACTGTACTTGCAAATGAGAAAAAGAAAAGTTAACCGAGATCTCACATTATTCAACAAATCCGACTTTACGAACAGTCTATTGTGTGAAACGAAGCATCTATTTTTAAAAATCGTTATTCTCCAAACCACTCCACCTTGCTAAGCGCTATGTGGGATAATAACGATCAATACACCCTACTATATAAATCTGATAAATATTATTTCCACCATGCCATTTAATATAGGATTTTCTACCGCACAGTTTATTATATACGGGATCAGCGAATGAATTTTGAAGACGACTAAATGAATCTATGATCGTCGACGTTTCCACGCTTTTGATTTCGCCTCTCGTACGTTTCAAAGAGCGCAAATACGAGGCTCTTCCCGCCGTCCGTAATTTAAGCCCGAGCTTCAAAAGCAAGGAGAGATTAAAGCCCGAATAAGCGCAAAAGAAAGGGCATCGGCAGTGGAAAATAAGGGAGGAAAAAAGGCGCGATTTCTGGTCGGAGGTGGTGAATGATTTACCGTCGCAGCTGTAGATCCCGTAGTGCTTTCCGGAGCTACGGTCCCCGCATACATTGCACGGGATATCGAGTAGTCGGTCTCCTGAAAAACAACGACGAGGTTACAAAAAGAGGCCGACGAAACATTTTGTTCGCCGATCAATCCCGGATCTAATTCAATTCCTATTTTTCCAGGCTAAGAATTACAGTAAAAAGGCCGCCAAATCAACGACACCGTCGATTTGGAATTCGTCAATTATTGTATATCTTGGTTGTAAGGTCCGGTTTCGTTTTCATGTTACATATCATGACCATACACGATGCAAGAATTACGGAATTACAGAATGGCCTTAACTGACTTTTTCTTTACACAATGTTAAGACCTCGACTCGCAACGACATCGGAGCGCCGTCGAAACTTTACGGTTATTACAGTATTTTTGTGCTTATAAATTTATTCAAGGGAGTGATAACATTCTGACGATAGCAAACCGATATGGACCACCCTGACTTTATTTGTAAGTGTTAGATTATTGGTAATTTAAATAACTTTTTAAAGTTTCAAAGGGACTGACTTCACCGACTGCGAAATGATGAGATAGCTATGAGGAAATCGGTTTTTTAATGTAAATCGATAACGTTATTTTCGATTCCACTATTGTTTGATGACAATTGGTAATTACTCCTACTGAAATTAATTTAAGATTAACGGCAAGCATGGCGTGTCAATTCTCGATGTAGAGACAAGGTACTCTTAATAGAATGAAGGTACCGATCATGAAAAGAGTGCAGTTTTTGTATTTTGCTTACATTCTTTTAAAGAAATCTTCACGGGTTCACGTCGTCGTAAAATCGAATTTCACGGCTGTCGTCATGAGTTGTGACATTCCGATTCATATGAGAATGTAGGTCTTGTCATTTGCGTTTTTACGCTCTATGATCAACATTATCCTTCATCTTTACGGTATATCATAGTTACTTTCTATGCGCATTTTGAAGAATATTTAATACCGTATCGTTTAGAAAGTTCTCTAAGATCTCCACCCTTCTACATAAAAAAGTAGCTATAGCACTTTAAATATCAGCCGTTTACCCATCTATAACTCTGACTTTGAAGTCACATACCCGTACATCAAAATTTTTCAAGTCCTCCTGGTTTTCTTTCAGCAAAACTTAATAAAGCACCTTATTATCGTACCATTACTTTCTAATATGACCTGCAAATTTGCACCTTTGTACCTATACATTTATAAGCAAACGATTAATATCAGGAGGTTAACACATTCGCGACCGGCAAATTTTTTCCGTTTCAAATACTGAGTAACGGCAAAAATAATGAAATTCTGAAACTGGTTGCCGCAAACTTGTATCGTGTATCGTTATAGACGTGATTCACGTCAGCGGCAACCAGGGATAGAACTTGAAAAGACGTGAATTCACGTCAGCGATCGCGAATGTATTAATATTTGCAAATTCCACGTCATATCAGGCTTTTCCTAAGTTGGACAAAAAATTCAGTTACACATAGTTAACATCGCGGATATCCCTTATCGTCAGTACTCGTGTCTCGTGAAATAAAAAAATCAACCGGTCGCGAGTGACGAGAGTCGGCGAGCGGAAACTCGATTTTCTCGCGCGACTTGGCGTAAACGGTCCCGAGGGGTGAAAAACAGGAAGAAAGCCCCGAAACTGCGAGACGGGAGTGAACTCGCGAAGGAGCTGCGGGGGTGGAAGGAGCCGCGCTAATCCGTTCTCTCCCTTTCGCGGCAACCCTAATCGTCCTAATGATCCGCGGCAAGAAAAACACGGCCGCGCCTAAGCCACCCGAAGCCCCAACCCGGGGGAACCCCCCTGAGACACCCAAGGGACCCAAGGGACCCCAGGAGACCCCCAAGGGATTACCTTTCTCGATCTACGCCTTCCTCGGCGCGGCGCGACCCCGCAATTTCATCGACCGATTTCCAGACAGGGTCTGTTGCTAATCATCAGGCATAACGAGTACAATGCTAAGATTTCCATCGATAAGGGCAAAAAGATGGACGGTCCATTGGTTATGAAAAATTTCCCCTTAAAAAGCAGTCCTATCCGAACGTTCAAAAGAATCGACACCTGATCCCTGCATCTTTGGGGGTGATGCCATTTTTCTGTATAAAACATTTTGATACGATTAAAAAGTGAAAGAAACTCTGTTGAAGGGTGGAATTAATTCGGTGAAATTGTCTTATTGGAAAGAAATTCTTCAAGATTCTGGGGAATCTTTGAGCGGCGTCAGGGAACATTTGCATAGGTTGATATCTGAGTGCGAAGATAATTTGTAAGAAGTCAAAGGACGATGTTCAAGACGAAAACAAATAGTTCTTTTGGACAAGGGCAGAATTGGAATTCGTATTATATCGAATTATAAGTATCCGCATTTCCTGACAATTCTCATACATATCGTCATAATCACCGACTACGGGATTGCAAAAACGACCGGAAGCTATTTCTACTATATACGGAGTGACATTTGATACGTTGTCATGGATACAAAGAAGCGTCAAACGAGGTAACATATTTCTGCGATACCCCGGGAATTTCACGACACATACAAAACCATTACTTTGGTGCTCTCCGCCGTAAAAGAGGAAAAAAGTAATAGAAATGGAAAAGACTGCATTCCTGTGCATTATATAAGCCATATATCGGAACGTCTACCTCAGAGATTCACCGGACGAGACCAACTCCAGAATCTGGAACCTCAACGCCGATCCCTTCGATCTTGGCCATGACTTCGACCTTCCTTGTTCGTGCCAACCCTCCATTTAACACATTCGCGAGCCGCTGACGTGAATTCACGTCTTTTCAAGTTCTGTTCCTGGTTGCCGCTGACGTGAATTCACGTAATTTCAAATTCTATTCCTGATTGCCGCTGACGTGAATCACGTCCATAACGATACGGGATACAAGATTGCGGCAAACAGTTTCGGAATTTCATTATTTTCGCTTACTCAGTATTTGAGACGGAAAACATTAGCTGGTCGCGGATGTGTTAATCCAACCCCATATCGAACCATATCCGAAAGCAGAAAACGCCGTCGATGCGCCATATATTTTAAACAGACCAACTGTTAATCGTAACAGAAGCAATAGATATTCACGAGTTGAGGGCGTATTCCGGTCAGGGGCATGAGAACCCAAGTTCCGAAGAAGAATCAAGAGCGCGCCAGGGATAACCCGGTTCGGGTAAGGAAGCGCTCTGGCGACCCCCTGCGGGGGGCGAGACCGACGACAGCCGACTTCTCAACCCGGGTCCACTGACCTGTTCCCATCCTCCGTCGGATCAGAGGTCGACCATCCCCAGAACGGAGTCTCCGGACGTCCGGGAAGCGGTGGTCGTAGCGCGGCGTCGGACTACCGCCGGGGTCGCCGCCGCCACCGCCGTCGCACCAGGGCTGACTCCTTGTCTCTAGAAGGGGACGTGCGTGAGTAGTCGCGCGCCGCGTGGCGCGCGGGGGTAGGTACGCGCGGAATTAGGCCCTCGACTCTTACGGCTCGGCCGGTCGCGGTCGCGGGCCGGGGTAGCGGCGGCGGCGGCGGCGGCGGCGGTGGCGGCGGCGGCGGCGGCGGACTTGCTGGCCGAGTGGCTGCCGCCGTCACGTATAACCTGTACGCAGGGGTTGCTCTCGTTAGCCACCGGGGGCGGCTCCGAGGCCACGTTGTCAGCCGACTCGATGTCATTGGTCGACTCCTCCCACCCACTCCTCGTGGGTCGCGGGTACTTCCCGCTGGGCGGGTGAGCGCCGGGCCACGCCCCCTCCCCACTCCCGCGCGGCTCTTCCCACCAGTCGGCGGCCGACCTCCGCTGCGGGCGCCCGAGCGCGGGGGACGGGACCGGAGGCAGGAAGCGATCTCAAAGGCACACCCGAGTCTTCCGCTAATGGCTCCCACGCTTCGGCGGACTTAACCTGGATACTGATTTCAACGTAAATACGAGCGAACCTCGCGGCTCGACACCGGCATCGGGGGTGGGTGCTTTGACCGAGCCCGGGAGCGCCGCGCGCTCTTTAACGGTGCCTTGCCAAGATCCTGGTTACGCGCCTTCCGCTCGGAGGGATTATTCGTTATCGGTCACCCCGGTGGTTTGTATTTTAGATACCGGGGGCGGGTTGGGAGATCGGGATAACTGGTAGACGGGTGGTGGAGGAGGATCGGGATAGGGTAATAACGTCTCTTTGGACGATCGTACGCTGAATTAATTCCGCTTGAAATGTGGTAAGATCTGTGAAATCTACCTTCCATTCGGAAACTTTCAACGGATTTTAGTTTGTATATAATATGTTCACAACTTGCACGTGTACTTTCAGAATGAAAAGTTATCCATGGTGTTGGGTCTGTTTGTTGGTGCTTGGATGAGACGAAGCTCCTGGAATTGTAGAAGCAACGCATCCGTTGATATATATTTTATTAGGTAGAAAATAGACGATGACTTGATCTAGTAGTGTTCTGAAAAACTGCACCCATTTATGTACATATTTGTATACGTTTACGGGGTGTTTATTCGTTATAAACCATGTGGTTGACACGGACACGTACAATCTATATTTGAATTTCAGATCGTTTCATGCTTCAAACATGAGAATCAATCTAGCGGACCACCAAGCGGTATCAAAGACTTCACATCTTGAATTCACCTGTGCAGAATATTGTCTGTATGCTCTCGTGACCAATCAAGAGAATGTCACAGCATGTACATTTTTGCCTTATTGAATTTCATTAACCTATCCTCGAAACACTGCTCGATACTTAATTGATCCATGATCCACGATTTCCCTAGTATTTATATAATAAATTTATTTCGCAATAACGTCTCCAAAGACGGGTCCAATGTCTTTTGGAAAGATGTTCGCGTGAAAGGATACCGAGAGGGCTACGCGAGGCGATGGAAATCCGCCCCTGAGATAAGCTCGACACGCATCATAAAACTGCGTTTACACGAGCTAATGGCCGCGCGTCGCGACGCTCGCGGACGAATCCTCTTTCATCTTGCCCGCCCTCTCCGAGGGGAAGGACGAGACGGGCTTAAGGCTCGGGAACCCGAAATGGCATCCTCTGCCCGCTGACAATAATCTTTCTCTCCCTCTTTTCATCCCTCCACTTTTCACCTCGATGTCACCTCCCTAGGAGCGCGCCAATGTGTTCAGCAAACGAGCCGAAAACGCTTCGCGGTGGCTTCCCACATTAAAGATCCAATTTTTATGAAATTATGCTCATTTCGTCGAAATCTTTACTAACGTGAAAATAGATTTTGAGCAAAGTGAGCCATTTAGAAATATTTAATACGGTAAGAAATTTCTTGCTTTAAAGAAGAACGCGGTTTTAACATCGAAAAGTAGAAAACGATTACCTCTCTAAGCTTCGGATAAGTTACGCGATGTTACTCGAGAGATAGTATTGGTAGATGACGATTTAGTTATCATTTCAATTAAAAAATAAGAGAAAATAAGAAAAAGTTGCGACGAGGACGCCAATCTCTAAAAGGGGTATGATGTACAGATACGGAATGAAAGAATAGCTTTACAAGTAACTGGACAAACTGTAGTTGTATGTCATATCCTTTTTAGGGACAGGCGCCTATTTCGCTGCTTGGGTGATAAAGTTTAATACTATTTTTCATTTCAGCGTGCTTTTAAAAATAAGGCAGCTTTAACGTTGGAAAGTAGAAAACAATTTCCTTTGTAAGCTTTAGGTAAACCGCACAATGGTATCCAGGGGATGGTATGGGTAATTGACGATTTAGTCATGTTATTCCAATTTAACCCTAGCCAAACTAGAAATCGGCCATGGTACTATACCTCCTATACGTATAGCTTGACCGCAGGTGCTGATAGATATCATATTAAAGCAAAGTTTTATAAATAATTCGACGTGTTTCTTTTATATATATTTGGAATGACCCGTTCGTATCACCTTAACATTGGAAAGTAGAAAAAGATTCCCTCTGTAAGCCCTAGATAAGCTGGGTAATATTTCGATACATCTCGTTTGGAGAAAAGTTTTATAGATATTTCGACGTGTGTTTTTTTTAAATATTTGGAATGACCCTTTCGTATCACCTTAACATTGGAAAGTGGAAAACGATTCCCTCTGTAAGCTCTAGATAAGCCGCGCGACGATATCCGAAGGGTGGGCGGGTGGCCTTCGTCCGAGTCCATCTTTCGGATTGCGGCCGAGCGGCTGACGGCGAGGGGGTGACCAAACGTAATTTCAAACCGTGTGTATGTTCCACCGATCCCCGTCGTTTGCTCGAGCAAACGTCACGAGATCTCCAGACCGCCCTGTCGGGTACGCCTCGGATATTCGGCCGTGTTTTACCCCTAACTTACACCGAAATCGCCCCTCGGATTTCCTTTCCCTCCCCTGCTTCCTTGGCTCCGGTGAGATTAATCCGTTTCCGCTCCCGGTCCCACTTCTGCCTTCGGTTGGACACCCTCGGATTACCTATCGCTTTGGAATCGCGGAATTAATTATACAGGGTTTAGAGAGGCCACGTCCTTGTATTTTCTTCAATAATTTGCCGACCGACAGTAACTTGTAAAATAGAAGACGTTCCCTAATATTTCATATTGCGTGTTATTTCTTTTTTTTTAAACGCAAAAAGCGTCGTATGGGTTACAGGTAAATCGTTGCCTTTGAGTCAAGTGTCGAATCGAGTTATGCATTTAACTTATAAGCTCTATGTATTTAACATATATGCAGAAAAATATTTCGTTCGCACGAAAAAATTCTTTACTTAATAACTTTTAGTCGATAGTATTGCGACAAATCGCCCCACGTGTTAAAGTAATTCGGTACGTTTAACCCGAATGTTTATTGTATTCACTGAAATATTACCTGAAATTAACAAAATGATTCAATTAAAACACTTTAGTCGATCTAACCGAACTAGTTTGATCAAGCGAGCTAAAATTCGATCCACGTTTTCGGAGATGAACCAAATGCAGTCGATTAAATGATTTCGTGTTGCGTACCCAATTTTTTTCTGTGTGTATCTTCAACACGGTGTTTCTATTGATGCCATTGTTTCGATTAAACCCCCTTGGCGAATCATGCAATCCTTATTATACCCTAGTAGCACAAAATATTTGTCCTATGTTTTCTACATATTTAACGAATATCGTACATATTGTAAATATTTAGCAGACATTTTAAATANATATCTTCGAATGAAATCTACAAGAAATCTTATAAAATCTGTCGCTCGAGATATTTAACAAAGATTACAAAGAAATATTTAGAAGTTATTCTATGCTACTAGGGTATATGGTCTTCCACTCTTTTCAACTTCCTGGAAGAGACGGTTTAGGTTTAGGAAGAGAGTTCTAAGAGGCGGAACTTTGGATCGGTCGGTCGAATCTTGAGAAGCGAGAGAAGCGAGTCTTCGGGATGTTCGGCCACGTGGACGAAAAGCCCGCTCGGGACGTCAATTATCGAAAATCGAAGGGGGCTGTCCGCCCCTCCGCCATCGGCTTCGGGGTCGATAGGAACTTGCGTATCCCTCCACCAGGTACGGGGCAAGTCTAGGTGATACGCGCAACCTTGGTAACGAGCGCGTTTGCCGATCCCCACCTTCGAGAACCGGAAGTACAATTTCGCCGAGGTACTAATACCCGGCCAAATACTCTTGGACGGCAAACAACGACTCGTTGAGAACCCCAAGTGAGATAGGATGTTGCAGCGCAAGTATCTCGACGAGAGGTGCATGATGCCGGATCCTGGAAGAGCATCCACCGACCGATGCAGCGAGCATCCCCAGGAGTGCGAAGAAAAGGAGCCATCTCTTAAAAAATCCACCGTCGAAGATTCCTCCGTGAGTTCGGCCGTTCCTATAATAATGCGCATTTTAATCAACGCAACGATTTGAAGTGACAAATAAAATATGAAGTATCGAGAAACTTCACGACACTGCCTTCTAGGACAGTAGATCGCATCATTGCGCATTAGCGTTTAGTTCATTTTTTCATTCTGTCCCGATGAATTAATAATGATCATTCGGAGAGAACAATTTTTATCGTGGTTTCGAGTACTCCACAGTACAGGAATCATAAACCATGGAGGAGTATACGAGTCTTATGGAAAGTAAGGACTCGTCTGCGTGAAGTTAAGGAAATCAATTTTTTTTTGGTTTTAATTTATAATTAAATATGCGAATTCAGTTTTTTACTCGGTGCAATTGGTTCCCTTTTTATGGGAACATTTTATCGCGCTTTCGTCGTTATGTATTAATGAAATGGCGTGGAATATGTTAAATTTGTATGGTTTGTAGAACAAT